GTGTTAGGGCGCCGACCCTAGCACACTCAACCTTCAAGGGCACTCCATATGGAGTGCCACAATTCCGTAGCGACATTGATCACTATCAGTGCTGGAAACAAAACTTTATTTATTATTAATTTTTTAATAATAAAAGTCCATAATCACAAATGTGTAAATAAGTATTGAATTGTACCAAATCGGTTATGTATAAAGAATGGAACAATTTTCAGCAATTAATAATTTTAAAATATGCAACATTGTTCAACATATATTATCAAACCAAATAATTCCAATATTATTCAAAAAAAACATGCCTAAAAGTAATTTACAAAGATCGAGTAATCATCCATGCAAAACTTGCTCGGATACCACTTATTGTAAAAATTAAAGAAATCTTAATTCACAATTATTCTAGAATAAAAGTCATAAAGTTCTACAACAATCAAGTCCAAGGATCTAAGCATATAAGAAAACCAAAATATTTATAGATATTAGAATTACTTGGAACCATTAGATAGATTGCAATAAATTATGGTCTATGGTCTTCCTCAACTATGTAGCCCGGACCAAATATGAGCAATAATCTATGTTTGATGGGGAATTGGAAGCTCAAAAACCATAGTGTATTGGGGACCATAACCATTTATTTATAAGTTAATACTAAGGTTTCTCATATAATCTCCTAAGATTCATGGGCCCATAATCAATATAACTTAGGGACAATGGCAGGAATGACCAAATTTAATAACACATGACAAATATACCTTGTAACCAATAAGGTATATATGCATAATTTTAAGGATTTAAGATTTTTACGAATAGCAAAAACAATTGACCTTAATAATAGGGATTCAACTGTATTTAATAAAAAGTAAATGAAATTAAAAAAATATCATAAATCTAATTGTTAATTAGAATTTGAAAGTAGATTTTTAAAAAGATTGATAAGACTGTATTGTGTTATATTTTGAAATTTACCCCTCTAAATTAGAAGATTTACAAATAAAAAATAAATGAAATAAAAATAATTAACTTAAATCTAATTTAAAATTGCTAATTAGAATTTGAAAGTAGATTTTAAACTAATGATAAGACTATGTTGAGGTATATTTTGAAATTTACCTATTTAGATTTATAAATAAGAGGTAAATATAAATAGGAAAAATTAACATTACCTTTATTGGTTTTTTTAAAATTAAAAAAAAAAAACAAAACAAAAGAGTTTTGAACAGAACCATGTCTCCAACAATACAACCTTCAGAACCTCCGT